GTTGAAATCCAAGCACTCTACTACGTGGAATGTATTTCAGCCTGGTTCTGTTTTGTGGCGTATAAATCAAAGCTATGAATAGCATTTCACTATCCTTATTAATGCTGTAGTGTTTTATTACTTTTCTAGCTATTAGGTCAATGTTAGATTAGAAGTGCCTGTTATGATCTCATAAGCTTAGGAATATAAAGGGGAAAAGAAATAACTAAATAAAAACCTGTGTGTGAACCTGTACTGTATAATTCGTTATCTGGTAACTATGATTACTGAAAGAGAACACTGTATTTATTCATTAAATGATAATGTGACATATGAAAAACATAAACTGTTTTGCAAACAAATATTATTTTTGTAGAAGTGCTATTCCTTTCCCCTTTGAAACTTTGGAAAAAGCATTTCCTTGATCATCTATCTTAATTAGGATTACAGACGAGACTAAGGCCTCAGTTGGTTTTTGAGAGAGACACTGGCAGTTAACAGTGAATAGGAACAGGAATATTAATGCTGCTTTTAAGGCTCATGTACACTCACTGCATCGAGTACTTTCTTTCAAATAACTTTGTTATATCTGTAGTGGTTTGTGCATATACTGTATTATGATTGTAATAAGGCAACTTATGATAATGGATAATATCCCTCTTCAGTCTTTTTTTTCCTCCAAATTATATTTTAGTGAGGTTTTGTTATTGTTGCTTTTTTCTTAAGAATACATTTCAGAGAGAATGTCTTGTGTAGCACTGTTTTATTGGATGAGGGTTTCGTTGTAAGTGTAGAATGTCAAATTAAAATATGGGTCCAAAGGGAGGGAATGGAACGGTGATTGAATCTCTTATTTTGGTGCTGCCATTGATCTGGAAATGCATACAGCTGGAGTTGCACATGCTGGGATGTGCATGAGGGAAAACTTACAGAATCCTTAGAAAAAAACTTTATCATTATCATAGATTATTACAGAAGGTATAACGGAGATTAACCGCTTTCTTTGAAGGCATAAAAGTGTTCAGAAAACATAAATGCAAGCATGTAGTCAAATAAGAACTTCAGGAACACTGCTTGCTTTTATGAAATGTACAGGTTAAAAAAAATTGTGGTAGACATTTTCAGTATTACTTCAACAATGTTATTTTCTGAGATCCTGAAGATTTTTCAGACCTTATGGTTGGACATGATGCATCTGTTTTAAATTTATGATCTGGATGTGATTTGTCAGCAACAAAAATTTTTAATCAGGAGAGCAAACAGCCAAATTTAGTGATTTCACTAATAATAATACAGTCCCTACATAATTACTGTTTTTGACAAACCGAGGTTAGCTGTCAAACGTCCACTTTAGAAAAGTTACTCATCACATTTTAGAATGTGTTTTACTGAGTGCTGAATTGCATGATGTAAGGATTCTTGCACCAAGAAATGTTCCAGGTCGGTTCCCAGGTTGAAACAGGGGGTTTCCACGCCTGCCCAGAATTTCGGGGCGCCCTGGGGCAGCTGGAGATGGGGTAGTGTAGAAATGTGTCCAGGCCTGCCACGCCGCCCCAGAAGCACCACGCATGTGCTACCTGCTGGGTGCTTTGAGCCTGCTGCATACTATCAAGCGCAACAAGCGCTATTCTGCAAGTGTGTTAATTGAAGAGCAGCAGGCTGTCAGGGAAAAGTCAAGCTGTGTGGTGGTAAGCGAGGTCGTGGGTGTCTAAAACCCGCAGTCTCCCTCCTCACCAGAGCACTGTAGGGTACCTATGTGACCACTGAGTCTGGCAAGCAGTATGAGAGCCCTCACTGCCTATTTTTTGGTCAGGTAAGACCTGGTCTTGGATATGTTTATATTTAACACTTCTTCTTAGTAAGAAGAACTAACATTGTGGGGAAAAAATGAGAATTTTTTTTGAAAGAAGAAATTCTTGTTCAGAAAAAATGTCAACCAGTTGTGGTTCTTTGAGAACAAAAAGAGGTAAGAGATTTAACTAGAGGCAAAATGGACTGAGAGGTTCCCTTCCTGCCCTTTTTTCCCTTCTTCCAAACTGTTCAAAAGGCTTTGATTACTACTTTGGATTTTAAAAGGATTTTAAATAATATATAATTAAAAATGGCTTCTGTTGTGTAGGTTGCAAAAACAGGAAAATTATTCTGCTTCCATGCTGTGCTTTTTGGTCAGTATTCTCTTTCTTTGTTGTTTCTAAGGTCTATTCAGAACCCTTGTGTGGTTTCTTGTTTGTTTGTTTTTTTATAACTTAGGTGACTTATTTAGTAGTATGTACCTTTGACTTGCTGAAAATGTGAAACTAAAGGCTACTCAGCAGCATACTGTAACGATTTTTAATGTCACTGTTCAGTTATAGCCGGGGTAGCTATACTTAGCCCTTTTATATTTTATTTTAACGTTATTTTTAAATTTTGAGTGACTTTTTAAAATTGCCTGTTGAATCACATTTTGCTTAGTCTTTCAGTGGTCGCACCAGCTGATCTGCTCTTTATTTTGTCGTGATTCATGTGTGCTGTGGTGTTTCAGTGGGTGCAGGTATAAGGAGGCTCGATGCACAGGAGTGAGCATTTCATCAGCTTTTTGGTCTTTGCCAGATCCTGGGGATCATTCGGGGGAGCTTTTTGCTCTCTCTTTGTTCCGGTTAAGGAGTAGAAATGAGTAGGCTGAAATGAAAAAGCCACATGAATAGACGTTACTAAAAGGAGGAAAAAAAAAAGTAACTGAACAAATACAGAAGTATGTAATTATTTCATCTCTATTTAATTAAATTGAGTTTGAAGAATTGTTTCTTGCATTTCCTTTTTACCATATGCTATTGTTTAATTAGCGTTTGTTCCATTTTTCTGTTGATTAGAAACACAAGGTTAGCATGGAAATGTGATCATCTCAATTGGTTTGATAAAAAATTATGACTGATCTTCTTTTCCAATGTTTGATTGCCTGTGTTGCATTTGTACATAATTTGTTTTTAGTTTCCAAACAAATTTTGTGGTAATACAAGAGAAAAGTTGCAGCTATGTGTCTCAAATAATTTAAATACATATATATATTTCCCCTCTTCATACCCACCATCTTCTTATAATGAAATTAATTGAAATTATAATTAAAAAAATCTGTATTGATAAAAGCAGTTAGTTTTTGAATTCTCTCTTCATTTTCTTCTCCATAGTGATGACTGTGGAGAAAGGCAGAATTCATTCTGCGGAATGAATTTGCCTTTCTATCAAACAGATAGACTCATTAAGGTTTATTGTGCAAGCAGTAATTTCTTATAAAATGGTATCCACTCCTATATAATTCATAAAATTCCCTGAGGAAGTATGAAGGACTTTATAAAAGAAAGCATTAGTGGAAGAAATACTAAATTTATGATGTTATTTGTACTTCTTTTGAAAGATATTATGCAAGCCTAAGTTGTAGATCTTAAGAAGATTTATTAGTCTTTTCTATTTAGATACTGTATACAATAATTGTCATTATCAACTTTTTATGATTCATTCAGAACCACATGTGTAAAATTAAATGACAGTGCAAAATTCCATTTCAGTACCTTTTCTCACAGAGAGAAAATACTTAATTATTATTGAATCAAAATTCTGTACTGTCTGTGGTTAAGAAGTTGGCCATGCTTCAGCAAATAAGTGTTTTGGAGAACTGTTATCAATGGTATGGTTGAAATGGTACATAAATACAAGAAATAATCATAATTTATTCATAAACTTTTCTTGTAAGATGTCATCTCTGTTGTATAAAATGTTTCAAAGCATAATAATTTCACAGTGTGAACACTAAAAATAATTTCTAATGTATTTAAAGTTAAAATCACAAATGTGAACTTTGAAAGACCCGCTACTTTTTATTGGCCGTCTACTTAATACCGGCATGTTGTTTTTTAAAAGAAAAAAAATGAGGGACGCGGAGGGAAGGGACAGTGCCCTGAGAAATTTGTTCCCTGTCATGAAGTTTGACGAACGCGTGCTGCCGGTCCTGGGAAGTGGCTTGCAGCAAGCGTGCGGGCAGGCTGTGCAAGCGCTCCGTCCCCC